TGTGATAGCTAACAAACCGGATATCATACTAAGAGATAATTCTGAAAGGTGGTGTAAGTTAATTGAAGTATCCGTATACAAGCGAAATCAAACACCAGACAGCCAAAGAAGCGGACAAGAAGCTGAAATAGCCAGGATGTGGAGAGTGAAGACAGGAACTATCCGGTCATCGGGGGAGCAGCACTGGGAGCCACGCCACATTAAATGAAAGAAATTTAAAGAAGACACCCCTACAGGAAGTAAAACCCCCGACATTCTTCGGCAGCACCACAGATATTCGAGTGATAGAGACCTGGAATAAATGGTTAAAAACTCTGACAAGTACACAAAATCTTTTCGTGTTCGAAAGGGATAATAATATTAATAGTCTGGAGAAGTACTGAAGAAATACCTGGAGAAGTCTGAAAAACTGCCGGAGAAATTGTTAGAGAAGTTTGGAAAACATTTCTAAAGAGTGCGAGAGAACAGCTAGAGAATTTTTGGAGAAATACTGAAGAAATTCGAAGAACATTCTTGGAGAATTGCTAGATAAGTTTTAAAAAAATCGCTAAACTAACCTGGAGAATCGCTAAAGATCTCTAAAAAGTCTAAAAAAAATTCCTAGAGGAGTCTAAGCAGTTTCTGGCGAATTCCTGAAGAACTACTGGAGAAGTCTGGAGACCTGCTGGAGAACCACTGGAGAAGTCTGGAGAAATTTCTGGAGAAGTCCTAAGGGATACGTATACTTAGGAGATCTGACATAAGTCCTGGAAAAAAAAAACTCCAACTAATCAATTTAATTCGATCAACGACCCCCAAATTTTATCGTCTGCTTTAGTTTGAAACGATACATTTTCTTGTTCATTAAAAGTTAAACCACCGTGTTATATACGACACGTGTCAACACACGCGTCGTGTCACAAGTATACACGTTCTATTATTGACTAAACAAACAAATAAAACAGTCGTGTTTTCTAATTCCACGACAAAATTTTTTTTTTGTTTCATTTACTCTATGATTACTTATTTAATAATTTTTTTACGTCGACGTCGAAAACGTTTTTTTTTCGGGGGAGGAGGAGAGGGAGAAGGAGAGGGGAGTGGATTATAATAAACCGGAAATGAAATTTAATTCCCGCCAATCTCAATGAAAATCCTTTTGTAAATTTCGTTCGGCGTTATATTAAAACGTTTTAATATAATTGTTTCGATAAAAACAAAAAAAAATAAAAATGGCCGCTGAGAAGAAAACGGAAACGGAAACGTTAAAAAAAAAAAAAAAGAGTAAATAAATTTTTTTTTATTTTATTTAGAAATTCAATAAAAGCAACAAATATATATATATATATATATTTTCTGTCAAAATGTGGGAGGGGGGTTTTCGAAAATAAGGAAAGGAAAAAAAAGGAAACAAAAAAGGAAAAAAAGGAAAAAAAAGGAAAAAAAAAGTCCATAACCCGCCCTTTAACAACAATCCAAATTTATACTTTAATATCGTTCGGACTTTTCTTTGGCAATAAGGAGTCCGTTTGGGAAATTCAAGGGTGAGTGAGAGTAAAATGGGGAAAGGGGGGAAAGAGGAAAACAACAGAAAAATGGTAATGGAGAAAACAAAAAAAAATGGGGGAGAAGGGAGGAAGGGAGGGGTGGGAAGGAAAAAGTTGCATTTCGATGGAAATTGAAAGGTTTTCAAAAAACCGAAAAAAACCTTTTATTGAATTTCTTTTTTTTTTTCAAATCTTGTTGTGTTTTTTTGGAAGAGGGGGGAGGAAGAAGAAAAGGAAGAGGGGATCGTGCGTGTGTAATCCCATGTAGAGAGAAAAAAATTGAAGGAGGAAGGAGGAGGAGGGAGAATCGAAAAAAAGGTTTTTACATAAGATTTTTTTTTGGAAATCGAAAACCATCTGGAAAAATCAACCCGAAAAAATTTTCCCCCTACCCCCTCCCCATTTGGGTAGGAAAAAAAATGTTTTTATTTATTATTTTGGAAAACTGGAGAATATGATTGTGGTGGTGGTGGTGGGGGGGAGTCGAAGAGGTAAAAAAAAAAATATTCTTATACCCAAAAGGTTTAACATTTTGATTTGCGAACCTTTTTTTTCTTTCCTTTTTTTCTTTCCTTATTTTCGAAAGTTAAAATAAGAAAAAAAAATTCACAACCAACAAGAGGGAGAGGGGAGAGGGGAAAGGATGCAAAAGGGAAGGCTAAAGGGAAGTTTTAGAAGGGGAGGAGGGGAATAAGTCGAAAAGTTTCTCTCGAAACGAAAAAGAAATTTATTATTATTATTATTATTATTATTATTATTATTATTATTATTATTATTATTATTATTATTATTATTATGAAAAAACCATTTGTTTTCATGTTTTATTTAAAAAAAATACATTTATTTATTAGCAGACGATAATAATATAAACGTTAAATATATATGTATATATACTCTATGTGTGTTTATTTATTCTATGGTTTTTTTTTTTGAAAAAATTACTTTATGAAAAAATTTTATTTTATCGTGATTATTAAGAAAAAAAAAAAAAAACAAAAAAACAGAAGAAAAATTTCCTTACCTTTCTACTGCCACGATGAAATCGTTTTAAATACTCTATGGATTTAAATTAAATAATTGTAGAAATTTTTTTGATTAACGGGAAATTTTGAAACGGCATTAACCTCGATGTACTCGTCAAATAGTTCGTTCACTTACTTAAATCTTCTGACACGATAAAAACGATAAAATGTTAAACAAAAAAAAAAAATTTAAATTGTGTTATTTACGATCAACAACCAACAACAAACACCAAAACAACAACAACCGAAAAAAAAAAATGACAATATGGCCGCCGTACAAAATTCGTTGATGAAATAAAAAACAATTATCGATTAATTGATTTTGATTTGAATTTAACGATCTCGTAATCGAATGTTCTAGTCTTTTCTTTTTTTTATTTAAAAGGAAATTATCCCTTCTAAATATTTGACACGTTTTACTTTTTATAACGGTTTTTTTTTTGTTTTTGACATTTAAAATTTTTTTAAAATTACTTGGAATTTTGTTTTTTGTTTTTTTTTTTTTTTCACATCGAAATCGGATATAATTAATTTTCTAATACCACGTCAATCTTTGTTAAATTATTTTTAAACAAAAAAAAAAAAACGTTAATTTTTAACACAAATTAAAATTTTTTTACTTTAAAAAAAAAAAAAAAATTAAACGCGCGCGGTAGGGAGGGGAAAGGGGAAGAGGGGAAGAGGAGAGGAGAGGGGGAAAGGAAGGAAATTCGACCCGAAAAAAAACGAATAATAATAATAATAATATTAATTCACACGCGATTAATAATCGATAAAAAAAAATTTAGAAAATTCTAGAAAAAAAAAAATAAAGTTCGTTAATTTACGGAAAGAAATAGTTTTTATTTACTCTATGATTTTTTTTCAATTTTTTATTATCATCATCATCATCATCATCATCGTCATCGTCACCATCGTCATCATCTTCTGCTATCGCGTTTAGTTTATTAAATCCTTTTTTTATTTATTTTTATTTTTTTTGATTTTTCGTTCGGTCGTTTAACGTTCGATGACTTTTTTCTTTTTTTTTTGTTGTCATTTTATTATTATTATTATTATTATTTTAAAATCGCGTTTGTTTGTTTGTCTCTTTGCGTTTTCTTCTCTTTTTTTATCATTTTATCCTTTACCTTTTTTTCCTTTCCATTCTTGCACTGGACAAAAGCCAAAAAAAAAAAAACAAAATTTTTTTAATATTTATTAAATTATTATTATTATTATTATTATTATTATTATTATTAATCGTCATCATCATCGTCATCGTCATCATCACCAACATCATCATCATCATTATTAACGTTTAAAATTAAAACACACAAAAAAAAAAAATTCACACGCGTAAAAAAAAAATTGACGAAATTTTTAATTTTAATTTATGACGTCATCAATTATATTATTATTATTATTTATAAATTAAAAACATAAAAAAAAGTAGGCTGGGGAGAGGAGAGAAGTAGAAAAAGGCAGGAAGGAAGGAAGGAAGGAAGGAAAGAATGAGTGAAACAAATTCGAGTCGACGTGTTAATAATAATAATAATAATTTTTGTTTTTTTTTTATTTCTCCTTCCACGACGATTGTTAAAATTAAATTCAACGAATCGGAGAAGAGAATAAATGATGTTGAATAGTTAATGGGTGGGTTAATGGGCGACAGTGGTTTTGGTTGTTGTTGTCATTGTTATTCAACGATTCTCTCTCTATTATTATAATAATAAATATTTTTACTCTATGGAATCACGGATGGATAAATAAAAGATTTCGTATATGTATATTTATATTAATTTAAAAATTTTTTTATTATCATCATCATCATCACCATCATCATTATTTATATATATATATAAGTAATTATTTAATTTACAACTTTTTTTTTTTTTGTTTATAATAAAAGATAAAATTTCAAATACACTTTTTTTTCTTTTTCCCCCATTTTTCTTTTTTTATATTAAAATTAATTTATACGATTTTCATTTACACATTTACAACACTCCAAATTAATTAATTAATTAATTAATAATAATAATAATAATAATAATAATAAAAATTGTTCGAAACAAAACGTAACCCGTCCGCGCCATCATCGTATTCTCTCCCTTTCTCTCGCTCTCTCTCACTCGTTCTTTCGCTCTCTCTCACTCTCTCTCTATTAATTATTCATATATTGGCAGAAGCGTTTAAATTCGGTTTAAATTAAAAAAAAAAAACAGAAAATTGCACGGAAATTTTTTCGTCGTGTCAATAATAATCAATTTTATTTAATCTGGTTCCACGCACGAAAACTATTTAAAAAAAATTAAAAAGAAAATTTATTATTATTATCATCATCATCATCATTAATTACACACGTCGTTAATTATTATTATTATTATTATTATTATCATCATTATCGTCGTCGTCGTCGTCGACGTCATCATTAAAGCTCTAAAAAAAAAAAAGAAGAAAAATTCTTTTCTCATTGCCTTCCTAATTCTTCGTGTTCTCCTAATTCTTTTCTCAATCTCGAGGCTGCCGTCGTTGACGTCATCGTTGTCGTCATCGTCCTTCCCAAATCGTCTTCGTCACCGGACATGTCGTCATTTAAATCCGCGTGTTGTTCGTCTTGTTTACGTTTTGCCGTCGCCATTTCCGCCGCGTGTTTTTTCCTCCATTTCGTCCGACGATTTTGAAACCAAACCTAAAAAACACACAAAAAAAAGGAAAATTATACAAAATGTTAAAAAAAAAAATGGTGGCCTTCTTCCTCCCCCTTCCGCTTTCCCCCCATTTACAAATCAATTCCCAAAGTTTTAATTAACGTTGAATAACAATGGGGGAAACCCTCTGCGGTGAAATTTTATTGGGGTTGATTGTGTCTCGGATAGTAGGGGTTGGTTCGTTGGTCGGTCGGCTTATAAGAAATTCTTTTTTTTTTTTTTTTTGTTTAACGGTTGGCACCCTCTCTTCGATTTAATTCGATCGTTTAATGGATAATTCCCATTGAATTTTTTCTTTTTTTTCAAACATCATCATCATCATCATCATCAATATTATTATTATCATCAACGTCACATAATAAATTATGCGAGTTGTAATGATGTATAAAAATAAATTTTCTACAACGACATTTTTTTTTTTTCGGGGGGGGTCGTGTTAAATATTATTTCATTTTATTTTAATTAATTAATTAATCCTTTTTCTCTTCTAACGCCACGTTTAAATTAATAAATAATAATAATAAATTTTGGAAAAATTTTTGAAATTTTCTCCCTCTCTCTCTGTCTTTCTCCCTTTGTTTGAATTTTCTTTTCATTTTCAAACGTTGAAAGTTATAAATTTGGCAACAATGTAGTAAAATAATTTTCCCGCCACCGTATTAAGGTATAATACGTACGTCACAACATTATTATTATCATCCCTAACGGTCAATTTTTTTCCCCTTAATTTTAATAAATTTGGCAACGTTGTTGTTGTTTTTTCACGTACGCGACCATAACGACATCTATATATATATATTTAATTAATTAATTAACATCGTGGCGGCGGTGGTACAAAGTTAAAGCTCGAATAAATGACCTTGATACAAATTCCGTTACTTTTTGAATTTATTCTAAACCGAATCGCCATTTTCTTTTTTTTTTTTAACGTGCTGTAAACACTTCATTATTATTATCGACTACAGCAGAAGACAAATTATATCAATTCGTGGAAAACAAATTAGTAAAATAAGATAGACGCCGGAAAATAATATATATATATATATATATATATATATATATATATATATAAACTTTTCAAAATTCGTTTTTAATTAATTAATTAATTTAAAAAAAATTCTCCCCATTTTTCCTCCCCCTTCCCGCCCCCCGGTTTATTTATTCTCGTTTTTAATTAATTCGAGTTCAAATTTATACGTTTATTATTAATCGTTGTGACGTTTTATATATAATTTAATTTCTGTTTTTTTTTTTTTTTTTTTTTTTTTTTTTTTGAGGGGGTAAATTTAAATAAGCCGCCATATTGATTTTCGTATTATTGATGATAATTATCGTAACGGTTATCGCCGACATTTTTTTTTTTTCATTACGACACGCAGTCATAAAGTATGTACTGTTTATTTCATAGAGAAAAAAAATTTTTAAACATTCGTTTACGTACGTTCGTATTTACGTATGCGTCAAGCCAAAAATTACATTTGATAAAAAAGAAAATGGAAAAAAAATATTTATAAAAAGAACTTAAAGTTTCGTTAAATAAACATGAGCGCAACAGTTTTTTTTATAAAAAAAATTACGAAACTTTTTTTTCTTCTAATTTTACTTATAAGTTGAAAGGTTATTGTATTAAATAAACAAAGTCGAAACAATAAAATTAAAATTAAAATAAAATATAATATCAAAATGAAATCCCTTCCGTTTTACTCCTACCGGAAAAAAAGGGAAGTAGTAGTAGAAAGAACGAACGAACGGGGAACGAGAAAAAGTGGAGGAAGAAGAATAAGAATAAGGAGGAAGAGGAGGAGGGGGAAGAGGAAGGAAACAAGGGGGAACGAAAAAAAAGGGATGCTGAAGGATTCTCAGATAATTAGCTCCGTAATTTAGAACATGATTAGACGAGGCCAATGGCTTAACCGAAATATTAAATGCCTTCTCCCCTCATCCTACCCCTCCCCCTATTTCGTTCGATATCTGACTCCATTTGCATTATTCGGTTCGTGATTTGAATTCGGATTAACTCTCCTTTTAGAAAAAAATTTTTTTTTTTTTAAATATCAAAATCCTCTTCGTCGAGATTTCATTTTCTTTAATATATATTATATTTCACCGCCGGAAAGACCGCCGTTAGTTCCTTCCGCTGCCACCGCCGCCGCCACCACCGACAACGACGACATTATTTTCCTTGATTTAAAATGTTTTCAAATCACGTGACGCGGATTTGTGTGTGTGTGTGTGTGTTTCTAGAAAATTCCCTTTATTTTTAATGACGTAATTTTTAAATTTTAAATTTTTTCCCGCCTTTTTTGTTTTTCTTGTTGATCTAATCGCTACGACGACGACGACAACAAAAGAACAAATTTAAATTCTTGACACTTTTTCAAATGGTAATTTAGGTTTATCCCTATATCTCATCTTCTGCCACGACATTCACATACGCACGCACGCACATGAACAAGCCCGCATAATTATCATTATTATTTTCTCGCGATATCGATAATTTTCTTATCATTAAATTATCTACTCCGGTCGGTCATTATTATCGTTACTTAAAAAACCTATCACGCATAATTACCCAAAAAATAAAGAATTATCATTTATTATTATTATTATCACATTCAAAATGTCGTAAGGCGCAAAAATTTAAACGCCGCCTTTCATCAATCAATCAATCAATCAATCAACACAATTCGATCAAAAAAAAAAAAAAAAGAAAAAAAACATGAGAACAAAAAACAAAACATTTTTCTAAATAAATTATCCGAAAAAAAAATTATTATTAAATGCCTTTTACTTCTTTCGACATCATTAAAAAAAATTTGAATTTCTATTGCCACGTCACTCATAAAACAAAATTTTTTTTTTACGAATAATTTACCTAACCTCAAATGGATAAAAAAAACAATTAAGATAAATTATGGTCATTGACAACATTCGGGGATAAGTGTAAATTTGGTCCGGAAGGGGGGAGGGAGGAAGAAAAAGAAAAAGTCATTAGAAATTTTTTGCTTTTCAGATTCTATAACCACGACTAAAAATTTAAAAATTTTAACTAACTAACGGTCATTTTTTTTACTGACCTGAATCTCTTAAATTAATACGAACGAATAACATACTTGATTTTTTGTTTTTTTTTTTTCAAATTCATTGTCAATTCGAAATCTAATGCCACGATTTTGTATAATTTATATTATTATTATTTTTATATAAACGTACGATATTATTATTATTTTTCTTTTTCTTCTGCATCCTTTTCCCCTTTTTTTACCCTAAAATTTTTTTTTTTTGTTTCTTTCCAAATCCAAATTTACTTTTAGTTCGTCATATCGGGTTGATTGATTGGACGTGGTTTTAATAAAGCCGCCATATGTGACCACATTCCACGAATTTCCGTTTTTTTTTTCTCTCTCTCTTTCTCTCACTCGTTGGTTTATCGCCAAACAAAAAAAAAAAAAGAAAAAAAATTTAGGGGAAAAATGGTTTTTTTAAATAATTTGTTTTTAATAATCGATTCCACGCTACCAACTTAACAAAATTAAAATTTTAAAACGATAACGTTTGAACCTTCCTTTCTATCCTCCTTTTCTTTATTTCCGTCCGCCATTTTACGTTTTAAAAAACTTTAAATTCGAGTTTGATAAAAGTTAAAAACCGTAAAGAACTTCATGTTGAAGTTGGACTTTTTTTTGGGGAGGGGGTGCGTGTGTGCGCGAGTGTCGGATTTCGGCAGATGATGATTACCCCCTTTTACCTCTTCTTCTTCCCCTCCCCAAGTTAATGATTATAAGAAAGAAAAAAAGGAAAAAAATTATTTACGACGGACGGACGTCCGACGGATTTATAACTTTTCTTCTACCACTAACGTTTTAAAAAAAAAACAAAATCATTTCTTTCATGTAGCTTTCCTTTTTTTTCACACAAAAAAAAAATTTATTTCCCTCCGCCATTTTTTTTTTCTTCCTGTTTTTTAACGTTTTTATTTCGATTTTTAACGAACGAGTTTTTGAACGGTCTTAATTACTTTCTCCTTCGTTTAATTATAAAACAAACACCTGAGACTCTATCTCTCTCTATCTCTCACCTCTCTCCTTTTCTATTATCCGAGTGAGTGATGATTATCGTAAAACGATAAATATCGTTCTAAATCGGAATTAAAATCCAAAACGAGACAAACAAATCGAATTCATCTCATTCGTTCATCAATTTTAACATCGGATTATAAGAACAACAACCACCGCCGCCTTTTATTACGTCAACGACCACCGACCGATTCTGGTGACACGACCACTTTCATTTTTATCACGCCTATTATTATTATTTTAAAATTATATATATATATGTATTAAAAAACTACCTTTTTTTTCTCTCCCCCGTACCCGTAACCACGTGACGTCACTTCCTTTTTCCCGCCCACTTTACTCTTTTCCCATTTTTTTTCTCTCTCTCTCTCTCTCCCTCTCCCTCTCTCCACTCCCCTCCCTCAATTAATATGCAAATCGATTTAAAAATTGCTACGGAAGGTTTAAAATGAATTATTAAAAATAAAATAATAAAAAAAAAAAAACATTATTGTCAAATGGAATTAATTATTTTTACGATTGTTAAAAATGCAAATTCGCGCGCGCGGTGTCGGTGGTGAGCGGGGGGGGGGGCGGAAACGGGAGGAAGGGAATTCCGGGAAGCGCTGAGGAGGAGAAGGAGGAGAGCGTCGGTTAAACGCGAACCACCTCCCTCCCGCGAACTCGTTCGACGACTTCCGTTTACTCCTTCCCTTTTCTTCCTTTTCCTTCCGCCTCCTCCACTTCCCCCTCCGCTCGCTCGCTTTCACCTCGACAAAATAAATAAAAACCGACGATGATGATGATGATAATGATAAAAATAATGTAAATTAATACTGGAAACGGTTTTTTTTTTTTTTGAGAGGGAGGAGGAAGAGGGGGGGATTTTTAATATTTGTATTTAAACCGGAAACGGAAATAAATCCGCGCGAGTGAGATGGTGAAAGACGCGTTAGAAGAAGAACAAAAAGAAGACGATATCAAATCACTGCGATGAAATCCGTCGGGGAAAAAAAACGTAAGTGGAAGAAAATCTCGAAAGGAGGAGGGGAGGGAAGGGGGGAAAACAGTCTCCCCAAAATCCGATGAATGATATTTCCAAAAAAAAAAAAAAAGGAAGAAAACGGTTAATGTATAGACACGCACGCACACGCACTCGCGAGCTCCTCGTTCTCGTATACGTGAAAAACGAATGATGAAAAGAGAGAGGAAAACAGTAGGGAGGAAGGGGGAATGAGAGTGAGTGAGAGAGAGAGAGGGGGTGGAGAAGGAATGAGGGTTAATTCAGCAAATTGAGTGCTTGTGAATCTGAAATGGCGTTTTATGTATTTAGAAAAAAATTTTTTTCCTCTCTTCTTCTTCATCTTAGTCTTTCAATTTAAGAAGATTACATTTCGACATCGTTTCAACACGTACGAAAGTATTCTTCTTTCGATTTAAATACCGCATAGATCGCGTATAATAGGATTAAATGCTTCTCCTCGAGGAAAATGGAATAGACAGAAAGAGAGAGAGAGAGAGAGAGAGAGAGAGAGAGAGGGAGAGTGAGTAAGAGTGAGCGAGTGAGAGAGATAGGAAACGGGGAAGAAGTTTAAGTTGGAAAACGGAAACGTAGAAGGGTGACGACGCCATTTATCCTCACGTCAAAGACAAGAGAAAACTGTTTTATCAAGTTGCCAACTTGATTCCTTTTCTATATATAAATTTATTATTATTATTATTATCATCATTATTATTATTAATGCCATCCATTTAATTCCAACTTTGTTATTCTTTTCTTTTTCCACGTTACAAAAAAAATAAAATAAATAAACCGTTCGAACGTTTATTTACAACAAAATTAACGATCGAATTA